GATCTCTGTGGATGATCATTTCTACAATAAACATATATAAAAACTTTCATTTCAAAAGCTTTCCTCTGGATCTCTGGAAATGATCATGTCAATTTAAACATGTTATATATCAATAAATATGATATTCTTTCAAGAGCTTTCATTTCATGAAAACACACATATATGGGATATCCACCTTCCCAAAGATCCAGACGAAAACTTTGAAAATGCAAGCTCTTACCCGCAGAAATCTAGAATAAAACTTTTAACATACAAGGTCTCTTTCGTTGTTCAAATCTAAAAATGATTATCTGCAGAGATCTATAGAGAATCTTGTAAACCATAAACGTGACTATATAAAATCTTTCCAAATCTAAACATAATTATAAGCAGAGATCTAGAGACACTTCTATGGCCTACCATCTGAGTGACTGCTTGCTGCTTCCAAAACAAACAATGACCCTGATTCAGGAATACATAATATATTTGTCCATATAGAGAGAGCAGGAACAGATTATATATATGTGTTTATATGGAGAGGGGCTACCACTGAAACATTTACCTCAAATTTTGGGAAAACCAACACCCAGGCCCCATGTTAAAGTAGAGTGGTATCTTCTGCCCTGGAGTGAAAACAAACATGTTTGCATATCTTGAGCATCAAATGATACCAAACACATTTTAAAAACCAATTAAACAGCTGCACTTTCACAGTCCCCCGCTCTCAAAATAAAACACTGTTGCAAATACACGCTTGAAGTATCAACATTAATAATTTCATATCTAAATTTTAGTATAAATGCCTTGCAAAAAAACAAATCCAACGATGAATAAAACATCAATACCCACAGATTTTGAACTGTCGGATGAAGAACCAGCAATGATAAAACTAGATGAAGAGCAGAAACTGAAGAGCAAGTTTATCACCTTTGACTGTCCTTTATGCCACGGAAAACTACAATTACAAAACACAATAGAAATCAACCCGAAGGGGATACAATGTAGTTGTAATCCTTTTTTTTCAAAATATCAAAAAACGACAAGACTATGAACGTCAGCAGGGATGACAACGGAGACATCAAACTAGATAGTGAAGCACGCGGCATCTCGTTCAGTTGGAACAGGCAAATCATACCAGAGGACAAAGACAAGGAAAGCACTAACCGGATGATTGCTGATGTGATGGGAACACCAAGAAGTGAGAAAAAACAATCATCTATACACGATATGGATTAAAAGATAGGTTTTAAAGCGTAGATTTTGACGGGAACGATTTGATACATAAATATCTAAATAAATTACTATTTAAATAAATAAATATATAAATATATATATATATACATTATATGAGTGGTATGGACGAGAATCGAGAACACCGACAAACTGGCGGAACTGACAAACAAACTGAACAGATGTGATAAGAACATCAAAACCACAATGGAGACTTTGAAGAGCATTGAGGAGAAACTCGCTTAACCTAAAAAGGAGGAGCAGAAGGATGATAAGGAAAGGATGGATAAAATCTTTGAAAAGGGACAGATAGGAAGACCCGTCGGTTCGTGGGATGATAAGAGGATACAGTATAAGTATTGGATTAACGAAGGTAAGATAAAACAACCGAAGGAAGCAACATTAGAATTCTACAAAATTTATAAGGATACTGAAACGGGATTTTATGAACTTGGATAATTTCATATTGAAATCTAGAGTTTTAATATGAAACTATTAGAGTTATTTAGCGGAACAGGTAGTGTTGGTAGAGTTGCGCGTGAGTTCGCTTTAGTGTCATATCGTTAGATTTGAAGAACGCCAACATCAATGAAGATATATTAGAATGGTATTATAAAAAGTATGATAAAGACATTGACATAATTTGGGCTTCACCTCCTTGCACGGAATATAGCAGGGCAAAAATCGCGGTAATTAGACAGATAGATTATGCGAACAGCATTGTCAGGAAAACTATTGAAATAACAAACTACTTTCAACCAAGAATGGTTTTCATAGAAAATCCACAGACGGGACTATTGAAGGAACAGGACTTTATGAAAGACTTTGATTACTATGATGTGGATTATTGTAAGTATGGTTTTGAATATAGGAAGCGGACGAGGATATGGACGAACTTGAAGAGTTGGAAACCCAGACCCTTATGTAAGAAAGACTGTCATGGCATAATAGGGAACAGACACGAAGAGACCGCACAGAGACTACCGTGTAAAGGCAGATGGGAGGAACAAAGGAAGAAGACACAGGATGAACTATACAGAATACCGGAAGAACTTATTTATGAAATCATATCAAACCTTTAGTATCTCGTGGCGAAGGAAGGGTTTAGTCAATCCTTCCAGTTGGAAGATTCTGTTTCCTGTCGTATCGTATTCTATCTTCCTGACTTTGTAGTTCTCTTGAGACTTAGACCATTTGCTGTTATACTCCTTCCTGTCGGTGTAGTTGCCTCTGCCCTTGGTGAAGCTTTTGACTGTATCGTTTTCTTTTATCTCCTCATACTTCCTCGTGTTCTTTTCTCTTCTTGTCAGATTTACCTTTACATCCATATGGTTCTTATCATCGTGGGCTTCATTGGGTGTGAGTTTTGTGGATGAGTGTTTGGTGCTGTTGTATTTCTTCAATACGAGTGGAAGCATACTCGTCCATCCCGCCTTATTGAACCTGACCCTGTCGTGTATTATATTCTTAAGTGTCCTGATGAAACGCTCCGCGACATTAGCGTGTGTTCTTGTGATGATGTGATTGATGGCTTCGTCTTTAAATAACTTTGAGACTACCGTTTGAAACGTTCCGTCATCATCGCTGTATATTGACATTGGAAAACCCATTTTCTTAAAACTTTGCTTCAAAGCCGGGAAGACCGTTTGTCCATCTCGGTTCTTCATAGGTATGACGTCGCCCATCTTGCTGAATATATCTATGACGACTAAAGCATAGGGTGGCTCGGAATTATTCATTGATATTTTTGCTTCCGGAACTTTGGTTAAGGGCTTCATATGCATTATGTCAATTTGATACTCAAACCTTGAGAACGGAGCGGTGTATGAGTTTGAACCTCTATAGCCTCTAATCTGTTTGTTGGGCTGTTTCTTCATAAAGGTTTCCACATCTACCCTTGTGATGGATGGGTCTTGTTCTTTTGCTTGTTTTAGGGTGTCTTGAATTGACCCGAAACCCTTTTCCAAGTCGTAATAGACATTGCTTATTATCTGTTCTTTTGTTAATCTTCTTGCCATTATTATAGTTTTAGTTTTTAAGATTTCTTAAATAATAAAGACTATACTTAAAGAAAAACAATATATAAAAGTAAGAGAGTAAAGATGACTAAATTTGACTGTGGATGCCGGATAATGACTGCAGTTATTTCCTTGAATGAATGGAAAGAACCAAACTGGACATATTTGTTAAAGACCTTTGTGAATATGTGTGGGAAGTGTGGAAAGAGACAAAAGAAGTTTCAGTTTATGGAAAACACACTTTTAGAGATGGAGAAGGCAAGGATGATAATGTTTTTTGAAAACGATGTCAGTGATGAAGATGTGGAAGAGAAAGTTAAAAATCAACCTGAACTGGAAAACTGAACCAGCCCCCCAAGAAACAAGTTAAAGAACAATTACCTCTATATAATATATATATATATCAAGAGATGCTATTTACTTATGAGAACTGTAGATGTTGTAAACATGAAAGTGCCAACGTCAAGGTTGTATTGGACAATCTTTTCCCCGCTGGAAATTGCGATATGATATGTGATTACAATACCCACTGTTTCAAATGTAATAACTTAATCTTCAAGGACAGTAAATACATCAGAAGCGCCTACGACAGACATACAAGAGTGGAAAAGCAAATAGATTTCTTCCAAACAGAGATGCCATCACCCATCTTTTTGAGTGATACTAACCGAACAAATGTTAGAGCGATGAGAAGGGACATAGACGTGTTGATGGACACTTTAGAACTGAAGGTCAGGTTTCAACGCAATAAAATGTTTCTACAAGCAATCAAATCTTATGTAAAGAAGAACTGGACATATACCTATCACATCCTCTATTCCTTTCACGACCTTGATATTATGACTTGGAGTAAAAAGAGACGGCAATGGTGGTTTCCTAACCTTGAAGAGTATTACTATTTTAGAAGCCGACCATTCAAAATAAAGGACATTTTGGAAATCTTCTTGCGTGAATACCTCAAAGAACTCTTCAGATACTATGAGCACTATATCAACGAACCAAAAATAGAAGAGCACCTACAGAAGGTGATAAGCACTGAAAGAAACATATCTTTATATATATATATATATTAAGAGAAACATGACAAGTGCTAAAATTTACGATATGAGTAACGTATCAGACAATTTAGGGTTGTATATTGAAGTTGGTAGTGATAGTGAGGGTGAAGACTGGGAACAGAAAGAAATAGAAAGGGAAGAACAGCACATTATGGACTTCATCAGAAACAACCCCTTTCCAGACAGAGATACATTTGTAGACATACAATTAGAGACAGTGAGAAAAGACAAAGCAACAGGTATTAAAGTCTTCGGAACGACTTATGATTATAGGATATTGAACAAACTATATGAAAACATCATGAATAAGGATATAGTCCGAGAATGCGGTAGAGAACTATATGAAAAGGATGGTATGCGTGATATGGTGAGATGTCATACCTTATTTAATGAAATCATACACTAAAACGACAATGAAGGAGACAACAAAGAAAACTACGATAGAATACTTGATTAAACATATTATGAACTAATCCTTTAGACCCAAACCCCCAAGAAAACACAAACGAACCTAAACAAATCTTAACCTCATCCATTATCACCGAACAGAGTGATTTTCAGCACCAAATTCTCCCCAGAAACCCCATAGAGAATGACGACAAAGCCTCAACAACAATTTTTAGTGAGCAAAACATTTCAACGAGGTGGTTGATGAACAAGAACTCCCCAGAACCACCATTTTACAATTTTTTTCCCCCCAGGCGCCCAGCCGAACATGTTGCTCAGTCAAAAGCGCGCAGTGCAGCGCTGCAGCACTGCTGCAGCACTGCTGCAGCACTGCTGGCTTGTCCAGGAGTGCAAGTCTCCCGAGCTTCAAGACACCGCTGAGGCCGAAACGGCGCAGTCACAGGGGCCCAGGACTCGAAGGACTCGAGGGCTTGGTTCCTCGAACGTGGGGCTCGGGGCTCGGGGCTCAAGGCTCGTATAAAAACCTGTGGATTCATGTGGATTGGCGCGTGTGAAGTCCCAGTGCATGCGAAGGGAAGCATGTTGTGAATTAGAATCATATATAAAGCCGTGAGGATCAATGCAACATGAAGAGACCAGTCTCGCACAGTGAACGAGTCGCAGAGCACCCCGAACGGGAAACTCGACTTCGTAAACGACATCTACAGAAAAAAAGACCTCACGTGGTAGGGAACATGGATTTGCAACCTATCTTTGGCTGTACTCTATCTCACAACCTCATAATGATTCCTGGGTTAGTTCTTCCAAAACTTGCTCTTGATGAGCCCGCAGGCGCAGCTCTTTCTGGCACAGGCGCCCTGGCGTGTCCACTCGGACGCCTATCAAGCCATGCTGAAGCTGAAGGCGAGTCTCAGGAGAGAAGAACACCCGCTTGGTTTGGAAAAGAGAACCGACACATTGGGTTGTTTGGACTGACGACATCTATGGAAGTCAGAATTCTTACGTCTTCCCATTTGTCCACTTTGCCATAAGTTTAGTTGACCCCAAATTCCGAACATCGTGGGATGAGTCGCCATGAGGCTCATGAACGCTTTCAGCACGTTGCAGAAGCCGGGCAGCGACATTCATTGGTTGGAAGATATGGTCGTGATCGTGTTGAAAGCTGAGAAGTACCTGAAATGTTCAGGAGAGACACAGACTTTTAAGCACCCATTCACTGCTTGTCGTCTGCCAGGCTCTGGCAGAAGCTTGGCACGAGACGGGTGCGGAACCGCTGACCTTCAGCGGAACGAACTGTTTGGAATGATGGGAACTGCATATGGTGCAGAGAACTAGGAGGCAATCAGCAAGTTCAATGGGAGGTCCACTCTACCTTCCCGAAGATTTTGATCTATGAGAGACGAGATAGGGGCCAAAGAAGCTGAAGAGTTGGGTGGAAGGGAAGGTGAAGGAACTCGCAGAAATGCTCGATGTCCCACAGCTCCGGGCAATCCTAAGAGGCGATTGATGCCTCAGTTCGCGTAGCTTCAAGTGTCAATCGGAAAGGCTTCCAAGCGTCAGAAGCCTCATGGATCGATATAGATCGTATGCTGCGCATGTGATTCTGTCTTCAAGAGTCCGGACATCAAATCCAGTGCGAAGTGTCCTGGCTGGGCTTGGGGGTTTACTACCGTTCTCAAAGGAAGTGGAAAATGACCAATTCCAAAGCATGTGGGCAATGGATAACTCCACTCAGAGCCAGTCCGAGCCTTGTGAAGCCAGACCCCTCCATCAGACTCTGTCGCCATGTTTCAGTAGGCCCTGGCGTGTCCTTCGAGCTTCGATTGCAGCTTTTGGAGGCATGATGTTCTTGTGAAGAGGGGAGCTTAATGAACTTCGGCATAGAGAGGGACAGCAGGGCAACCAAGACTGAGCACTTGGACACAGCTTCTAGTAGCTTCCTTTGAGAAGAACCTCCCACACAAAGCATTCTCAGGGTCTGTCAGCCAATCATCCACTAACCTCATTCAGATTGCTGCAAACCCAGAACATTCCTTGAGGACGTTTTCCTAGCGATGTACAGACAAGTTTGGTTTCAGCAGGCAGGGCTTCAAAAGGAAGTCAGGTCGTAAGTTGTAAGCTAGAATTCAGAAACTTGATAGGCATTACATGGCTTTACATTCCAAATTGTTTCTTCATTAATAAAACTTTTACATTGCAGATTGTCTCTTCTTTTCGGGAGTGTTGGTGTCATCACAAGCTGGATGCAGCTCATCAAAATCGACCTCCAAAGACCTCCAAAGGCCAAATTGGCTGCGGTGAGTACGAGCAAAGAGATGGGAACCGCTTCCCCCCTCTCAAAGCATAGAAAAATAATTCGATTAGTAAATAACACACTGTGAAAAAAGAACAAAGCACTGGAACATCTCCCCGGTCCATTTTTTCTTATGTATGGCACCCATGGCACCCCCCCAAACCAGGGCCGCATTTTGGGCCAACCACCATCCCCGTTCCAACGACTGGCGCAGCGCAACGACCAACGACGACGACGGGCAGGTCTTGTCCCAAGTCTCCCTGGCCTCGGGCCATGGAGCTCTGGGTCTTCAAGAGCTGCAGCGAGCCTTGGGACGCCCAGGCGTGGACGACGGTCTCCTCGGTCGACGGTCTCTCCTCCAACACCTTCGGTCGGGTTCACCTTCGTCGGGAATGGAGTCGGTGTAGAGGTGTGTTGTCTTGTGTGGTGTTTTTTGTTTTACAATCGGATTGTTGTTTGTTTGGGGATGGAAAGCGCCTTCCCCGCTCAAAGGGCCTTCGGCGATTCGGACGTGATCCTTTGCGGATTTGTCGAGTAACAGTTTGTAGGGAGTTTGGACGGGATACGGGATCTGATTGTTCGGTCGCACGCATTAAACATCGGAGGCTTTAATGACTTTAATGCAACGGTTCCGTCTCCCAGATGGTCTATGGAAACCTGATTGGATGTTGTGCTCAGACCTCAGCGTTAAGATGTGTAAACCAACCTTGACCTTTGACCTGGGGAACAGGTCAACTCGGGCCAAATGTGAAGGTTTCACTTGGGCTTGGTTTTTGACCTCACCTTCCAAAGCGTCCACGGCGCGGTTGGTGAGTGCAAGATCCGTCTGAGTGTTTTCTTTATATTCCCGAATGCGTAGCCAAGGGTTCTCGTTTAACTCTGGGGGGTCTGGGGGTAGAGCCTTGTTCGCGACCCGTTGTTTCTAAGTTCGCAACCGTCCGCAACCGTCCGCAAGTGACCGCAACCGTCCGCAGTAGAGCGCTAAGGCGCTGCCATTGGGGGAAGCTTTTGGAGAGGGTTTCGGATGAAAACGGGACGTGTCAGATTCGTGTGAAATAGCGAGGAATTGTGTGGAAATGTAAGATGTTGAAGTATATGGAGGAAGATTTCACTGCGCAGGCACAGCGTTTTGTGAGATCAGCAGTTTTCTGCGCAGCTCCATTGGGACTAGCGTTTGGAGAGTGGTGTTTTTGGGGTGTTGGATGTGGCCGTGCCATTGGGATTTGCGTTTCAGGGTGTGGCATCGAAGCTCGGTTTTCGTGACAAGTCTCAGCTGACATGGCGATGTTGGTGGATGGGAGTGTGCTCTGAACGGGTCGAAATCATTCCAAACGTGTGGTGTGGTGCAAATTTTGTTGAAGCTCACATGAGATGATATTGTCACTTTTCGTGGCAGGCGCAGTACTTTGTGCGGGTTTTGAGGTGTGGAAGTGCGATTTTCGTGCAGGTGCAGGGAATCGTGAGGTTGCGAGGCGTGACGGAGGTGACATTTCGTGGCAGGTGCAGTGCTTTGTGCGCGTTAGACGTGTGGACGCGGAAAGATTCGTGGCAGGCGCAGGGAATCGTGAGGTTGTGAGTTGTGGTAGAGGTGAATGTCGCTGTCACATTGGGATTGGCGTGTGAGCGGGTGTTGTTTGGAATCGCGAAACTGCTTGGCAGGGCTGCGTGATGTGTGTGTGCTCCGATGGGTGTTTCCGCTTGACTTTTGGAAGAAGTCTCGAACAAAACGCTCGTTTTGCAGACTTTGAGGAAGTCTCGCACGAAACGCTCGTTTTGGAGACTTGACGTGTGACTTTTTGAGGAAGTCTCGTACGAAACGCTCGTTTTGGAGACTTGACGTGTGACTTTTGGAGGAAGTCTCGTACGAAACGCTCGTTTTGGAGACTTGACACGTGACTTTTGGAGGAAGTCTCGTACGAAACGCTCGCATGACTGGTTCTAGTGTATGGGCAGACCGTGTGGCGACACGACGTTCGTGATGTCGCAGTGCCATTGGGATTTGCGCGGCCTTGGTGGAGAGTCTGTTTGCTTGGCGCCGTGCCACTGGGGAGCGCAAAACAGGGTGGCGTAAACGCGGCGTGTCGCTGGTGAGCGGGATGATTTGTGGTATCAAGAGTGTCCCAAAAGAGTGCCCCGCAAGAGCTTCCTACAAGAGTGACCCAGAAGAGTGTCCTACAAGAGTGTCCCACAAGGGTGTCCTACAAGAGTGTCCCACAAGAGTGTCCCACAAGAGTATCCTACAAGAGTGTCTCAAAAGAGTGTCCCACAAGAGTGTCCCAGATAGAGTGCCCCACAAGAGTGTCCCACAAGAGTGTCCCGTATGAGCGTCCCACAAGAGTGTCCTACAAGAGTGTCCCACAAGAGTGTCCCACA